GTGTGTGTGTGCTCGAGTGTTAGAGTGATGCGTGTGGGATATCCAGGGTGATCCAGTGTATGTGAACAGTGAGATGTTTGGGCGCTGAAGTCGCCATAGCCAATTGAGAGTGAACGCGTATTTGAAAGCCATATCTCTGAGTTTTGAGTGGGCGCATGTCGCCAGTGTGCTGCGTTACTGTTTACATGTGTGAAAAGTGTGTTTGAAAACGAGTCTGATTGCAATATCAAAAAAAAAATAATAATAATAATAATACGTTCACGTTCGGTGGGTTTCGGGACCCGTTCGCGTTCTGTTACGAACGTTCGCGTTCGGAGACCGAACACGAACAGAATGCTACGCAGGAATACCGTTCTTGTGAAGTTCTTTTTGAAAGCAGATTTACCGGGCGTCGGGTGATACCTCATTTCGTCACAGAGACCCCTTCCGCCTGGCCTGAGGCATGCACTCCAAGGCAGGCGGCTCCTCTGTTGCAAAAGTGAGGTACCGCCAGTGTATTTGTATTTGCCGCAAAATAAAGAAAGAACCGCCGGGTAAATCTGCTTGGAAACTTTTGAAAAAGGGTATTTCCACAACTTTGCCAGCATACTTGCCACAATACACTGCCAGACCTGTATTTTGCTACGATACTTCTCCACCACCATACTTCTCTAAACGGGTATATTATCTGCAGTTTGCCCATTCTTATTCTTCAGCAATCTCATTCCGCTGCGACAGTTATTCAAAGTTGGGAGCGAATTATAAATGTACCTACTCTGCGGAGTTCCCTAACCAATATACTGCTAGTCTAAGAGTCAACTTTCGTTACAAAAGTACATGTTTTGTTATGAAAAAAACCCTTTTTATGAGTTTGTTGAAAGGTTTCCCATCCATGTCATGATCGTCCCATAACTCTTCTGTGGAGTTTCCTTCAAAATACACCACTAGAGTCATGCTTTAAAAATACACCGCTACAGTCATCCTTCGTTGCACACAAGTAGTACATGTTCTCTTTTGGTTATGGGAAGAAGTTCAAGAACAGTCTTACTTCAAAGAACCCTGCTCCTGAGTTTCTTGACAGATTTCCAAGCCCTTGTCATGTTCAAGACAAATTTACGGTCTGGTACAGTCTTTTGATTAGTGGGGACCCTTCGGCCTCTGAGTGTTCACGTCAGGCCAATAAAGTTGGGAAAAAGTCATAAAACCTCGGAGTCCCCGCGAGGAAACCTTTGTATCCATTTCCCCCCAAACAGGGAAAAAGGTGCCGCAGCCCCCCAAATCACTTTCCGTGTCATTTTTGCACCCTGCAAAACACTTTCCCGCCATTTTTACACGCAGGCCGTTACCGGCCCAGCCCGGGTGCAAAAATGACACCAAAAGTGATTTTGGGACCAGCGGCACTTTTTTCCCCGTTTGGGGGGAAATGGATACAAAGGTTTCGTCGTGGGGAGGTTTTATGACTTTTCCCAATAAACTTCTCTGTTAGTACGAAAAGAGGTACAGGCGGGTATACCGGTCACGAAACTTCTTCTTCGAACGGCTCAGAGTCTCTGTAAGGAGGCTTATCTGTAAACTTTAAGATACTGTTACAGTGAAATACGTTGTGAAACATCGAGAGAGGGGGGGCATATTTGTGAGGGAACGTGATGAAACAGGTACAGGTTGAAGTTCATTAAACCAAAAAACAAGATCAGCAGTAAAGATCGGCAGTAGTTCAACGTTCATTTTGTGCACCATACTCGCTTGCCCACAACTCTTTGAATCGGCTTGTCTATCTTTCTGCCTCCCCCCCGCCCCACCCCACCCCTCCTCCTTCCCCCTTCTCCCCCCTTTCCCCTGAAGATCCGCCAAGCTGTCTAGTCTTTACGAGAGCATGAGAAAATAACATTCGTAGTAGGCAAGGGGCCAAAAAGCAGACACTGTCAGGGGGGGGAATTTTTTTTATTTTTATTTTTTTTTTACCATAACACTGGCAGCCAATGTCGTCTGATCCAGGATTCCAGGCACTCCGGCCTGGTTCTTACAACGGCTGCTTTTGCATTATACAAACCGCAAAACGGGTCCGGCATCCCTCACATCATAGAAAAGGTTGCAAGGTAAACTGTGTCCTTTGGCCATAACCATGTCAGACTATACATGGCGAACCAACACCATGCTACTCAAAACCAACAATGCAGCCAAAAGTGCAGTCATCTGACAATTTTCCCCCCAGGCCTGCAGAACCGCTTTGCAACCCGCGCGGCAGGGGTCCGTATCCAGAGCCCCCTAACTGCAAACGCAGACCCCGCGAAACACACATGCCTCCTCGCGACTCAGGGCAGATCACAACTCCACGCACACTCCATTACCAAAAGGCACCAACTCCCACCATGATGGTGCTTTTGCAAACCAGCGGATGTACCCTACCACCTGCGCAGCAGGGGCCAAAGACCCCGCAAAAGCGGCAAAACCCTCCCTCCTCCTCGCGATTTAGAGTACTCTACTACCCCAATCTGCTAGGCCCCCTAACAGAACTTCACCGCCCTCCATGATGAAGCCCCGGCGGGGCTGTGCTCACCAATTTTTGCCTCTATAGATAAGATGAAAGCAAGACCCAAACAAAATGCAAAAAGACAAAAGGCAGGACAGCAGAAACATCTCAGCAACCTACAAAATCCCAGTGCTCAAAAACCAACCATTCAAAGCGAACCAAAAAACAAAAACACAAAAACAAAGGAAACCTACAAACTGCTTTTTGCTCTCTCTTCATAAACTCTGACCATAACCTAGGGCAGAAAAACAAATTGAATAAAGCCATCTCTCTCTCTCTCTCTCTCTCTCTCTCTCTCTCTCTCTCTCTCTCTCTCTCTCTCTCTCTCTCTCTCTCTCTCTCTCTCTCTCT